GGTGGTGGTGGTGGTGGTGGAGGTGGAGGTGGTGGTGGTGGTGGTGTGCCTAAGAGGAGGACGAGGTCATTGGCTGGGGAACCCCCGGGACGCCCGGATGTGCGTACCAGGTCTGCCAGCTGATCGAGCACCTCGTTGACTTGCTGGCTGTACACAAGCCCGATGTGGGACTTGCCCATGAGACGCCTCACCTTCCTGCGGATGTCGTTCTTATTCACCTGGAAAGCAAGGCAGGGCCTTCACGAGGGTGTGCTCTGCTCTACACCTTGAGGTGGTTCCAGAGACGAGGCCACCACTGGATAGGAAGAAAGAGCTGTCTCCTGCCAGCAGGCTCACATGGGGTAACGGCTTGACCCTGCCCAGGACGGCCTCGGTGGCTAAGTGGCTCTCGGAGCAGTTCTGGTTTGAGTCGCTGGGGGGACCCAGAGACACTTCTAACTGGCACACGAAGAGTAGAGACACCCTGGACTCAACTGCAGCCCGACATGCCCGAGGGTTAGGGAGCATGATCCCCTCCTCCCCCCTCCCGAGCTAACTGGCACCCTGGAGTTCAACAGCGTGAACTGTGAACAGAAAGGGAAAGGCACCCGCAGGCCTGTGGGGCACCCTCTGCGTCTCATCAACCGGTCTCTTCAAGGCCCAGGAGGCTGGAGAGGACAGAGGAAGAATGCCGGGGGCCTCTCCCACCAATCCCAAATGCAGCTATCCCGCCCAGGGTAGGACTCTTCTGACCACACGACCCCGCCACAGCGAGAGCCCAAGAACAATCCACCCAGATGAGAGTCGCTTTTTCTACTCAGCTATGAAAAACCCCACAGGATAGATCCCATGGAAAAGTGGATTCTGAGCTGCCGTTCTAAGGTGTGTAGGGCCTCCTGCTTAAAGGAAAAGATTTAAATTCATTGTCTTCTGCGGAGGGCTCCGTTGATGAAAACTATTTAGCGAATGAGACCATTTCATTTGAAACTCAAAATAAGCCAATGGTATAGGGTCATTCTGGTGGTGTCTTGGGTAAGCTCTTAGCTGCTAACCTAATGGTCCACGGTTTCAACATACCAACCACCCCTTGGGAGAGAGGGAGGGAAGGCAATCTACTCTCATGCACAGCCTTGGAAGTCCTTGGGGGCACTTCCACTCTGTCCTGTTGGGTGGCTCGGGCTCGGAGCTGACCCGATGACAGTAGGCTTGGGCTTCCTTTGCTTTTCAATGTGGTCACCAATGACCTTTGCACATCCCTTAGCCAAACAGCCTGGCAAACCAAAAACCAAGCACACTGCCACTGCCAGCGTGTGGATGCCAGCCCACAGCGACCCTGCAGGACAGGGACAACTGCCCCAGCGCGTTTCCCAGACGGTTGGCTTTCCCCCATCTTTCTCCCTTGCCTCGGAGGGACTGGTGGTTTTGAACGGCTGACCTTGAGGTCTGCAACCCAACGCATAACCACCATGCCACCAGAGCCCCCTGAACAGCCAGGTAGTTTCCCAGAGACCGGATTTGTTTCAGAGGGATGTCGGAGCTAGACCACCAACTCTCAGTCAATCCCCGGGCAGCGTCTTGCCTGGGCCGGCACTGAGACGAGGGAGCAGGAGCGGGGCGTCAGCAGAGCCGGCGGGCGTTACCTTCATCAGCAGCATGTAGGAGATGAGGTTGTGCAGAAGCGTGGCCAGCAGGCGGTCCTCATCATCCTCCAGCCGCTTCCGGTCGTGTTCTCCCAGGGACAGGTACCTAAAGGCAAGGCACGGTCGGTGGGATCACAGACGGAGCTGGGAGGAGACTGGACCTGCGCATGCCCCGGGAGCTCCCTCAGCTGCTCACCGGTCGATCATCTCCTGGGGACCCTGGTCCATGCCCATCCCTTCTCGCTCCAGCATCACGGCATCCAAGAATGCGTCTTCCCAGAACTGCATTTGATCCCACAGAGTAGACCGCTCTTTGCCTGCGTGGAGCGGAGTTCATTTAGGGACCTCACGTGGCGACTGCATGTAACCTGCTGTACCATGCCAACACGGTGGCCAACCCCAAAGGCAGAGCAAGCCCTCCCGTGACAAATTCCAGGCACTGAGAGTCCAAGCCTCTCTCCCCGGAGCGAACAGAAGCCCCAGCTGCGTCCCAGTGAGGCCCGGCCCGGCCCCTCCCCGGTGGAAAGAGGCGAACAGGGCACACAGAGCAAGGTGGTTACTTAGAGAAAAGGTCTCCAGGGCAGCATCCTCTAACTGGTCCCACATGGATCCTTTGTCCCTTCCTGCCAATCCGAGGGCAGGAAGGAACCCGGGAGAGCAAGCAAGTGAGGAAGGAAGACAGAAAGACAGGCTGCAGATTAGCACCAAATCCCCACCCCTCTGGTTTTCAGCCCTATCCCCACCCCACCCCACCCTACCCCTTCCTCCAGACCCAGCAGGCGGCCGGCCTCGGATACACGACTGTCCCGATGACAGCCAAGGGTCCTAGTTCCATGCTGTCCTCTCCCTTGGTCCCGCTTTCGCCCAGGGGAAGGGGCTGTGCCCAGTGGCTTCTCACCGAGGAGTCCCTCGTAGAGATACACCCGCTGGCTAGCATCTTCAGCAGAGCGAACGGGGCTGCTCACCAGTCTCTCCTTCGTGCTTGGCTTCAAGCTGTGGGCCTTACCCTGGCGAGGGGAGGAGACAGGGCAGTTGTCAGAGGCGCCAGGGCGCAGAAAATCAAGCAGCTCGTTGAGCACTGACCCCAGCAGCTAGCCACAAGGCTGGCCTCGGCCACTCTGCTAGCCGCTAGCATCCGACTAAAAGCCGATCGGGTCACCCACGCCTCCTAAATCGCACAGTGCAGTTGACATTTGGCCTTGTCTTGCCTCTGTAAGGCTTTCTTTTCTCTCAAAGAAAAATCTGGCAAGCTCTCTGGTGCTAGATGGCCCAGTGGTAGCAGACTGATGGGGGCTTGAGGCCCTGCCTCTTGTTAGCTAGGGGACCTGGGGCGGCAAACGCTACCTCCGCTGAGCCCAGATTCATCTTCCCTGCAACAGACCCCTCATCAGACCCCTCCAGTTGAAAACACGGTCGGCATTTGATTAAAAGTCGTTTTCCTCTGTCCTATGAGCTCTGCTGGCCCCACAGGCATGCACTCAGCCGCTGGCCGCCATGTGGGTAGGTCGAACCCCCCACCCCCACCCCGGGCGACGAAAGGCCTGTGAGCTGCTCCCGCCAAGAGTCCAGCCTGGAAACCCCTACGGGACAGTCTGACTCTGTCACCAGGCTGGGCTGCTATGAACTGAAATGGACTTGACACCTAACGCCTTCTCGAAGTGCCCCTCAGAAAACCCCCACCTCCACCTGCCACCGCCACACGACCAGACCTTCGATTCACCCCAAGCCAGTTTGTAACTGGGCAAGAGGTAGGTCTGCCCATTTCCCAGCACATGGAATAGAGCCGTGCTGAGAGGTTACTGGGTAACGGTGTGGCTGAACGTTAGCCCAGGAGTTTATCCAATGGGCCAGAGGGGCAAAACAAAGCTTGTTTCTTGCAAAAACAGCCTGATTTGAGCCACGACGTTCAGGTAATTGCTCTCGGCAACTCGACTGTGCAAAGAGCCCTTGTCTGCCAGCCCAGGCCAAGAAGTGCCAGGAAAGGTCGCACCAGCGACACGGGTCCTTGCAAAAGAGCGAGTCCGTAAGAGCTAAGTGTTCAGAAGGGAGCACACGAGAAAGATTTCAAACAACCTTCTGAAAACTGGTCTGTTTAGACTCGTTCAGCTGACTCAAACTATCCCCTGCCTTCCCTCTGGGATGTCCTCGCTCAGCTAAGAACATGTACCCCGAAGGCCTCCGGCATGGGGATGACTACCGGGGTTCAGTATTGGATTCCAGCTACATTTCATCCTCCATTCTCCCCGTACATCAAAATGAGGATATACAAAGCTCTCGTAGACACTATCTAGGAGCACTGTCCGTGAGAGCAAATCAGCAGTGAAGCCTACCAGCAGCTCCCAGAAAGACTGACCGCCCTGGGGACCCTACGCAGGACCACTCTGAGCCTGCATGAAGTCAGCAGCCGTGGGGGGTGGGGGTGGGGCTATAGAATTCCCATCCAGTCTCAGGAAGCGGTAAGCACAGAAGGCTCACATGGCCTCATGGGGCGAGGCCGTGGGCCCCCAGCCATCTGCCTTTGATCAAGATTCTTTCTGCCCAACCCGACGGCTGGCTTATCCGTGATCTAGGGCATGTGCTGTGTGTCCTGAAGTGTTTTGTTCTCCATGTGTTGCAAAAAGCCGACCACTCAATACAAACTGACTGAATGGCCCGTTTCCAGGGAGGGGGAAATCTGCCTCGTTTCTGGAACACAGAACTCGGCACTTAGGAAACCATATACTAGATGCCAGTCAATGAGTGAACACTTCCAATAACCATGGGGAAGATCCCCTGAGAAGGGGACTCAACTCTCAGCCACGCAATTCCCAAAGTCCACCATGCCGATTCAGAGGAACCCTCTAGGGCTGGGGAGAACAGCCCCTGGTTGAGTTTCAGAGGCTGAACTCTTGACGGGAGTAGAAAGATCCATCTGTCTCCTGCAGAGCAGCTGGTGGTTTCGAACTGCTGGCCTTGTGGTTAGCAGGCTAACACAAAACCACTGTGCCACCAGGCCCTAACAGCCCAGTACTAGGCAGGGGTATAAAGCAGACAAGAACACCCACAAGGCGGCACTCCTCGGGACAGTCAGTTACACCCAACCAACAGTGCAGCGGTTGCCCCAGAACAGAGCCCACCAGGCATGGAGGGGCAGGGACCCGGGGAGGAAGTGGGAGAGGCGGTGAGCCGAGGAAATGGCAACAAATGTCACAGCGTGAAGCGTGTATAAACTGCGGCGACCCAAACCAGAGCTGTAGCAAGAATAAAACCGGACCAGTTCACAGACATAGGGAGGCCGATCCCGAACGAGAGCCCCCACTGCCACGGCTGCTGCTTTGTCTCCTTCGAGCACAAAGCTTTTACCACACAGGTCTGACTGGGCCAGGAGCCCGAGTCATCAGGACTCGGCAGAGGGTTCTCAAGGCGATCACAGACTAACGAAAGAAGCCTTAGAAACACTCTCTTCAAAGCTGAAATGCATGGGGACTGCCCCTTCGTTCTTCGTCCACTCACTGAATAATCCTTACAAATGAGGAGACGCTCGCCCTTGGGGCGTGTTATCAGGAGGGGCTGGTCCCTGGAGGAGGACATCGTGCCTGGTCAAGTGGGTCCATGAGAAAGAGGTGGGCCCCTCGCAAGTCCTATGGACCTGGCGGCTGCAGTCATGGGTTCAAATACAGCAACGAGGGGGAGGGGGGCGCAGCACTGGGCAGTCTCATCCGGCTATGCGGGGCCGCTGTGTGCTGGGACCTGCCCGCCGGCAGCAAGGACAACGACCCATGCCTTCTCTCATCTTGCCCTTCTTGTTGCCATGTCCCCCCGCCCCAGTGAAAGCAAGTGAGCAAAGCTTACAAAGATGGCGCTCGTGGCAGAATTGGTCTCGATCTCACTATCGGACAAGGTGGCCCGAGAGCTTGCCAAGTGGGCACTGCCCTCGCCACCTGGCCCATCACCCGCATTGCTGCTCAAGTCACTGTCTGCTCCAAGGGTCTCTCCAGAACTGTTACTCACCTGGAAAGGCAAAAAAGGTAGTGAGGCGCAACCCCCAAGGAAGAGCCCCAGCAGCGCCGGGCTGTCAGGGCCCCCGATGATGCCAGAAGGGCGCACTGTGCCCCTGGCTCTGCCCGGTCACCGCTTGCAGTACCTTCTGGAGAAGATGAGAAGCCCCGGGGGAAATCCCAGGTGGAGAGACCTAGGACAGGTAAACATCTCCACCTGGAGAACCCTGCTGACCTGAGACCAAGCGTGGCCTCCAAAGGGAGGAGGCCGCGCTCCCTCTTTGAGGGAGACTCCCACACCCCGCCCACCGAATGCCAGTGTGGTGTACCCCTACCACGGTGCTAACTTCAGAATCCTGACTGGAGCTTCGGATCATGACAGCTGGACTCGCACCGACAACGGGGTCTGGGTCGGTCCTCTGGAACAAGACACGGGGATGCGAGCCCATCAGGGCCGGGGTCCCATCTGTCCTTGGCTTCCCGGAACCACACTGGGTGGTTCTTTCTGTGCCCATCAACCCACCCCACCCTCCTAGTTTCATAGCCCCCACCCGCAGAATACGAAACATGATTCTGGAAAGAATCGGAAGATGGTGGAATTTCCCATGGACTCCTGAGGCCACGAAGCAGCCCACGGACGACATGCAGGGGATTAAGAACAAGCCGTGGGTCTGCCGCCCGCAACCACACAGGGAAGTGTCTAGTGCTTTCCTTTCCATCTTTCTGATTGTCTCTGAAAAGATCGGGGCTTGTGTATAGCTCCGTATCCTTGCTCCATTTCCCCGTATCCCTGAATCTCTGCATCTCAGCGGGCCTTGTGCAGACTTACACCCTGAGACCAGACCCCTCAGGGGACACTGAGGCTGTGTTGAGGTTTTCTTTGGTTTTCCCACCTGAGATAGCTAAGCGGATTCCGCACCTCAATTAACAGCAAAGATGTCACAAACCTGGGACCCGGATGTCAGGCTCACACCACTGTCGGCGCTGATCTGAGACTTTTTCTCCTCTGTCTCGGCAAGGTCAAAGGTGGGCTTGGCTGCTTCAGGCCCTGCAGAGGGGGAAGATGGCTGGTCACTCCGGGCACCCAGGACAGGGGCAGGCTGGCAAAGGGGGTGGAGCCGCGGCACAGCCTGGCTCACTTGCCTCCCCACACGCTGCCCCGCTCAGGACCCATGGAAGAAGGTGTCCCCGAGATGCCTGAAGAACCGAGGAGGGTGAGCGAGACCTGGTCTCGAGGCATTCTGCTACCAGCTTCTCAGCCGGAGACAAGGAGGCAATCACCCCCGAAAAGAGAAGTCCCACAGGCAGAGGTCTGATCCACACCCCACCGCAATTCACAGGCAGGGCCACACTGGCACCTGAAACCAACTAGGGGTCCCCAGGTCACGCGGTGGGCCCCCAGCCACATGAGATAGAGAAATGGGGTAGCTGGTCACTGTCCAGCCCGCCCTCTGACTGCTACATCCAAGACAAAAGCCAACCCCCCATCTTTCCCTGCCCACCCACAAAAGTACGGCAGAGGACAGGATGACAGAAAGCAAGAGAGCGTGCCTGGGCAAGCCGCCAGAGAGAGCTGGGCAGCTACAGACTCAACACGGAAGGGGAAACCATCTCTGCCAACTGTACCCACAGGCCCTCCAGTGTGAGAGGGTACCAGCCAATGAGGGGCGCGAAAATGGGCAAACATCCTCCCCACCAAGTCTGCAGCAAGGGAGGGCACGTTCGTTCTAAGCGGCTTTTCTCAACAGACACCCGGATCACGGCCTGCCTGCTGGGGAGGCGTGGCTGAGGCCCCACGCACCTGCAAGTCACACCCCACCTGCCTACTCTGACTTGGTCCAAACACACCCCCTCCCTGAGAGCAAATTTGGGCTGGGGCCGACCAAGGGAGCCTGGCCCACATGGGCCTGGGGAGTTGGCAGGTATGGGAGATGTGGGAGCAGGAAGGGGCATTTGTTCCTTACTCTGTTTTTCCAAAGCTTTTTGCTTTTTCACTTCCTGGTGCTTGTTCCACAATTCTAACTCAGATGCAATGCAAGCGGGAGAAAAAGACAGACAGAGTCAGAGGCTGGTCAGACAGATGGAATGGAAACCACCACCCCCCCGCCCGAGTTGGTGTGGTCTCGGACCTAAAACTACAAGAGATAGAAAGCTATGGTTGCTTCTGCTGGGAGCGGTGGGGTGTGTGCGTGCGCAGGGAGAGGGGGGAAGGGGGTGTGTGTCAAGAGATCTGATGTCTTCCCTCAAATTCCGCTCGATGTTTCTAACCCTGACCCCAGTGCAGCTGTGAGATTCCTGCAGAAAGCCAGAGGGAGGGCTCTTGACAGCTGCTCCTACAGGGAGACACATGGGCCAGCCAGCGGGGCGGGACCCTATCACTGAGGGGCCGCAGACACCTCTGCCTTGTGGGGAATGGTCTGCTGTAAAGAATCCAGAGAGAGGGTTGCCTCAAGCACTCCAGGGTCTCAGCACAAGCCCCTTCCACTCAGTGGGCTGCACAGAGGCCGGCTCTGGAGACGGCCACCACCCCCTGCTGGGGCTACCTCAACCCGACTCAGCAGAGTCCCTGCTGTAGCCAGGCATCTGGAAAAAAAATCACTTCTACCAGGCCAAGTCCATGGACCTGTGAGAGCAAAGGGAAGCTCGTTTCTTTTCCCATGTCCAGGACAGGTTAAGAGGAACACCTTCCTGGGTAAAGCTGGGAGGACAGCACACCTGGCCAGTCTTCTCCCCGGAGGGAGCCTTGGCGACAATTTAGTCCAATCCCCTCGTGGGAGGGGCAGAGACCCTGAGAGAGGAGGTGACACTCCTGAGGTTGCATTCCCAGCTGGGGGCTGGGGGGAGACTAGGAGTGAACTCCGGAGCTCCAAGCTACAGGTCAGTGCTCTTTCTGGGACGTCCCACCAGGCCTCTCGGCCACGGATCACGCTGGGCGAGAGAAGTTGAAATTCAGCCCACTCGCTGCCAGAGAGTTGATTTCAAATCATACCAAGGCTGGTCGGACAGAGCAGAGCCTCTCAATTCCTACGGAAACGCACAACCTCGTCTTCCTCCCAAGAGAAATCCGGCTCCACATGCACTACACAGGACACTGGCTCCTCACGGACATCTCTACGTAAGGCCACGGCAAATGACTGTGGCAAAGAGCCGCGCCCGGAAGTGTGGGACCTCCGAGTGGACGGGGAAAGAGCTCACCGAGATGGCTGCAGGTCAAGTGGGAAGTGTGCCTGATGGAGGCCATGCCCCGAGCGCTCATGAGGCGCTGCCCAAGGCTGAACTGACACACCAAACACAGGCAAGCTGACTCGGAGGCCGGGCAAACCGAGGCGCCAACTCAGAAATCCACCCTCTGCGGCACGCCACCGAGAGCCCAGGTACGCTGGCTGGCCGGACAAACCTCCGAGGAGACAAATCCAGGCAGAGGCCGCTAGACTGGGGAAAAACTGGCTTCGGAGAGCCGGACGGTCCGAGGTTGCTAGCCTAGAGATGCCTCTAGGAAAGTCCCCAGAGCTGCCAGGAGCTCACGGCCTTTCTACCATGTGGATGAGGAGGTCCTGATGCACAGGAGAAGTGGGACCCAGGAGGGTGGCCCAGACTCCCTGCACTACGCTGCCGGGGAGGGAAGGGGAGGGGAGGAGAGAAGAGGGGAGAGGAAAGGAGGGGTGCTCTGAGATGAGAGACGGCGAGGGACCATGAGAGAGACTCCCGTGGAAAGGGACCAAGACTGGTGTCTCTCTGGAAAGCGAAGCACGGGAGAAAGAAAGGCAGGGTTCTGGGTGAGCGGAGAGGAGGGCGGCACACCCCACGCCAAGATGCCTACCGATAGAGGCAACGAAGTTCTCCTCCTTTAAGCTCCGCGTGTCCGGTTCCTTAGGGCCCCTGCCTGCGGTACCGAGTGCCCGCGGTCCCAACTGGGGAACTCTCAGCTGGGCCATGGCCTTTGGGTCCCCCCGCCCAGCCAGGCCAGGGTCTCTGAAGACTGGGGTGTTCACGCTCTCCGTGGGACTTCTCTTCCTCTTGTCTGGTTCTGGGGAAAAGACGAAGGATGGGAAGCGGTCACCAGAGGTGGTGAGCGGGACCCGAGGCATGGCGTGAGGTGGGAGAGGGAAAGACGCAAGAGCAATGGAGGAGGGGAGATAACCAGACAGGGAAACATCCACACTATACAGACACACACACTAGGTGGGCGGGAAACCCGTCACCACTCCCTGGGAGAGGAGTGGGAGAGCCGTGGGTGGCCTGGTGCCCGCCCAGCGTGACCCCTACCTTTACTGTAGTAGTGGGTCTGCGCGATCTCCAGAAGCCCAAAGATGCTGGCCATGCCGCCCAGCCCGGCGTGGGTGTATGACTGCTCCAGGCTGAGGACCGTGCACTTGAGCAGGTCCAGCATCCCCTTATAGACCTTCCGGCTGATCTCCTGCAACGAGAACCCGTCCCGCTGCCATTGGCCCCCCCGGCATCCACCGGCAGCTTCCCGGGGAAGCCGGTGCCCAGCCCCCGACACTGACCACATCCGGGATAATGTCCTGCCGGGCTTCCTCCTCCGACTGCGTGGTACGGTTCAGCTTGCTCAGGACGAAGACCCGGAGCTGCTCGCTCTCCAACAGCCTCCGCACCTTCTTCATGCTGAGCCAGCCCACCCCCTGGCCGTCCAGCACGCTGTGCACCACCTCCTTCAGGAACTGCTGGTTCTCACTGCGGGGCGCACACCACCTCTGGGGTCACCAGCCCCGGGACAGAGCATCCCCACACACACAGACACCTGCTGCTGCCCACCCTCCCCACTGTCTGCCCACCTGCCTGGTGCCAACAGAGGCTGCCCAGGATGGGTGGCATCCCCCTGCTGGGAGCTCCCCTCCCCTCTCGCTCACCCCCGCCTCCACCCGTGCGCACCCAGGGTCGGGCTCCGTGCAGTACCTAGAGTTGCTGGAGCGGCCCTGGGGTGACGGGGGCTCTCTCTTCACGGTGGGGCTGTGTTTAATGACAGACGACTTCTGGTCCACCAGGGCCCGCCTGTTCCCTAAAACCGGGAGGAGGGGGGATGAGCAATGTCACCACCTGCCAGGAAGCCAACAGGCAGAGCGGGCTCGGCTCCAGCTCCCAGCTCCTCGCCCATTCCCCAGCGATGTGGCGGCGCTGGGGATGGAGACTCAGGCTATTCCACATGCACCAGCAGAGGCCCCCATGGGCAAGCCCAGGCGCCACAGGGGACGGGGCAGGTCAGGTCACACACGACACCGCCTGCTCCACAGAGAGAACGGCCCTCAGGCGGGTGCAGAGGGTGCTCAGGCAGGGGTTAAAGGTCATGCACAGCTCACGGTGAGACCCACCTTCACCCCTCCCGGGGCCGGCTTCAGTAACAAGCTCCACTAGAGTATTTAGCCCAAACACTGGGACACAAAATACACAATTAGTAGGTGCCCTGTGAGACCCCCCAACCCTTACACCCCTCCGTGGAGCCGTCTCACAGAGCAGCCTGAAGGGTGCACGGACCCTTGGCTCTTAGGCGCCTCTGCGGGGCTGGGAGCCTGATCCAGGTGGCCAGGTACCGGGCCAAGGGCTCTGGGTAAGGCCATTCGCTAAGACTGTCCCCAGTCTGGGCCTGGGCAGATGACATACAGAGCCTTTGGGGACCGCACAGGCACATGCATGAACAGGGGGCAGCTAGTGTCATGGCCCAGGGGACCGAGGGGATGCACAGGGAAGAGACTGGTCCTGCAGGTGCTGCTGTGGTCGGAGGGTGGGCTGGGAGGCTGGCAGGGGAGGAGCGAAGCAGATGAGCGATGCAGCGGCATGCAGACGTTCCCATGGCCTCCCTCTGCCGGACGACCCAGGGAGCCAGGGCCACCAACGAGCACTGTCCACTGCGAACTCGTCTGTCAAGGTGCTGGTGAGGACCCTCCCACTTGCTTCTAAGAAGTCCCATCTACCCTAGATCCTCATCTCCTCCCTCCATGGGGTCCAGGGGGCAGTTACAGAAACCCTGGTGCGGGGGCTCACTGAGCTTCCTACCCTAAGGGACTATTGCAGTGCAAGACCCAGAAACAGCCACCAAGGGTCAGCTGACATCCAGGGAGCAGAACTCCCCCCACTCCCCTCAGAGGCCGGCCACCACCCTGGCCCGGGCCCTGGGTCGACAGGCAGCCCAGGTAACGGCGTCTCACCCATGCACCCCGCCATCCTGGGGAGCCAGTAGCAGCAAGCTGGCACATGACTGTGTCCCCCATGCTCATTCCCACATTCTTCCCAGCACAGCAGTCATCCCCCGGCTGCCAGCATCCTACACGGCCTAACGGGTCGTCTCATGGCTACAGAGACAGTCCGTCCCGGTGTGACCACGCTCAAAGGCCCGCGTGTGCGGAGAGCCATGACAAGACCCATCAAAGGAGGTGTCCCACACGGGGTACCTGCCAGGGCCAGAGGCTTGAGCCGTATCCCAAGAAGCCCTGGCTTGGCAGATGTGGGGCGGCAGGTACCTTTCAGACTCGGGAAGGGCGTGGCCTTCTCACGGGCACCTTTGGTGGGCAGAGCGAGGTTGGAAAGACTGAAGCTTGTGCTGTGGTTCCGATACAGGCTGCCTGTCACGGAGGCGGAAGGGGAAGCAACGAGTCCAGGGGTCAATATAGCAATGGCTGGACCGCCACTGTCACCCCCCTCTTTTCCAAACACCAGCCCAGTGCCTCTGGCCTATGTGAGGGAGATCCCGTCTCCGTTAAGCATTGCTGACTCCCTCCCTTCAGTCCCTCATCCACGGTGACCCTCAGGCAAAGCCTGCCACGCCGTGTCTGGGGCCACGGCCCGCCTGCAAAAAACACTTGCCATCAGCCTATCCCATGCTGCCTCTCTCTAGTCCCCTAAAACCAAACTCACTGCCATCGAGTCGATGCTGACCCACCGAGACCCTCCAGGACAGGGCAGAACTGCCCGTTTTCTGAGATGGACACTTCTTTTAAAAAAAATTTTATTTTATTGGGGGCTCTTATAGCTCTTATCACCACCCATCCATACACCCGCGGTGTCAAACACATCTGCACATATGTCATCATCTTTCCCAGAACATTTTCTTTCTACTTGAGCCCTTGGCATCGACTCCTCATTTTCCCCTCCCTTCCCCGAGACGGACACTCTTTATGAGAGTAGAGGACTCTGTCTTTCTCCTCCGGAACAGTGGGGGGTCTCCAATTACTGAACTTGCAGTTAGCAGCCCATCGAGTAACCACTAAGCCACCAGGGCTCCTATCTCTAGTCTGCGGTCTGTCTTAAATCTTCAACTGACACCTCCCCTCGTCTCAAAACACCTTCTCAAGGCACCAAAAAACCTCAGAAACTCATGGCCATCGAGTCAGTGCAGACTCAACACGACCCTATAGGACAGGGTGGAATAGCCCCTGTGGGTTTCTGAGACTGTCGCTCTTCACGGGAGTAGAAAGTCTCTTCTTTCTCCTGAGGAGCGGTTGGCAGTTCCAAACTGCTGACCTTGCAGTCAGCAGCCCAACGAGAAGCCCACCACACCGCCTGGACTCAGCACACTCACAAAAGCAGTGCCTCCTGGGGCCAAAAAGACACCAGAGTGTGCCCACACAAACCACGGCTGACCAGCAGCCTTCCACAAACCGCAGGCTGAAATCTCAGGCACAGAGACCAATGACTGGTCTGCCCCGTCCCCTGTGGCCCACCTCTGTGGAGTCGGCTGGCTCCTAAGGGCCAGTGTCAGGGAGATTGGTCACCTGGTGCCCCGGGTGTTTTCCTATCGGCTCAGCTGTTGCGGGACCGGGCCAGGCCCGTCAGCAATGCCTTACTCCCAAATGACCTGAACTGGGGCTAGAGAATGCCCGCCCGCCCACCCAGCCCTGCACTTGGCCTTCGAAACACTAACTGCAGGGCAGCCCCCACCCCCACCCCCACCAGAGAAAGCCCACCAGAAGAGAAAGCGCTTACTGGCAAAAGACATGATGCCCCCAAAGCCCTCGGTGCTGTTGTTGGAGACGGTGGAGGTGGGAGAGCTGGCTCGGGAGTCCGACTCCGCTTCCGAGTCACTTCCCAGCTTCAAGCTGTTGGGCCGCAGCAGCTTTTGAGCCCTTGGGATGCACAGTGGCCCCATGAGGCCCCGGCAGGGGTCACAGGGTGTGGGCCTCCATCCCTCCACGCCCTTTCCCCAGGGCCCACATCCGGGGCTGGCTCAGCACCACCTGGGGGCCAGCAGGACTGGTCTCAGACTCCCTGCCTGGCAGCCACCACCTCTGGAAGGGACCCCAGGCTCTCACCGAGTGCCATTGACATTGTGGCTGAACCGGGGAGTATAGCTCTCCCCCTGCTCATCCTCATCCTCCTCAGGGGGGAAGGCGTAGTGGGGCTCTGAGCTTGGGCTGTCATAGGGTCGCCTGCGTACTGAGTCCTCTCCGGTTTCCGCCGGGGGCCTGTCCAAGGCGTCTGACTTGCCCAGGCTGGGAGGTGCGGTCGGGAGGAGCTTGGGAACACCGGCAGCGGCCTCTGTGGAGTCTGCCGGTTCCTAAGGGCCAGCGTCAGTGGGCATTGGTCACCTGGTGCTAGGGATGTTTTCCTAAGGCTCAGTGGTTGCAGGGCTGGGCCAGGGAAAAAAGAGCACCCCCACCCCCCCACCTGCCCTCGTCCTCTCCCCGCACTCACTACCCAAGGGGGACTTTAGCCATATCCTGAGGAAGCCCAGTAACCTCCTTCTGGGGGGTGGGGGGGAACTGTTTCTGAACGGGCCTGAGACCTGGGACCGGCGGTGAGGGAGGAGGGGATGGACACCACAGGCCTGTCTCAGGCACAGTCTCCCTCACCCACCCTCCGTGTCCTCACGTACAGTGGAGGCTCTGTGCCTGATGGTGCCGGGGCTGCTGCGGGCGGTGCTATCAGAGCGAGTGAGCTGGGGTGGGCCTTCCTGGGAGACCTCGGGGGCCGGGCCGGGCACATCTGCTTCCTTCCGGTTCTGAAGCTCCGCCAGCTCCACTTCACTGGCATCCCCCAGCGCGGCGTGCGTCGGTGGGTCCATGTCTGCCGGAAGCCGAGGGCCACAGCTACGGACCCCGTCGCTCCAGAAGTGGCCCCGGGCCACCGGAGCTGGCCCCGTCCCCAAGAACACTTACTAGGGGTGTCACCGCTGATGTCACACTTCATCATCTCACTGACAAAGTCGCCAAGGGACGAGTAGGAGGAGCTCGAGCCGTCATATTCCATACTGTCGCTGCCACTGCGCAGGGAAACCCAGATGGACCAGGTCCGGGGGGGGGGGGGCGGCGCTCACGAGTGCAAGGAGGGAGAGCGTGCGCTAAAGCTGATCGCCGTGCTGACTGCACAACTCTTTAGTATGAACCCCACTGAAATGTGCGATGTGACGTCCATGTCAAGGGCAGGGGGTGGGGTTGGGGCTAGCAGAGAGAGGGGAAGAACCGGCCAACAGTGCTGGGAAAAGTAGAAGGAGCCCTCCTGACTCAAAGCCAGGGAGGCCACAGAGCTCACTGCCATCGAGTCAATCCCAGGAGCCCCACAGGTCAGGGGAGAACTGGCCCTGTGGGTTTCTTTACAGCAGAGAAACCTCAGCTTTCTCCCTTGGAATGGCCGGCGGTTTCAAACTTCTGACCTTGTAGTTAGTAGTCCAGTGTGTAACCAAGACCTCAGAGGCTGACGCCCGAACCCTGAGATGTTGTCCCCCGGTGGAAACAAGGGCCGGGCGGGTGGCTCCTGACCTAAAACGCCGGCTCTCACCTGTCGTCAGTGGGGTCGGAGTCCGAGTCGCGCTCCGGGGGCACCCGCAGGGCCTCAGCCAGCTGGGAACTGCTGTCGTAGACGCGGTAATTGATGGGCTGCAGCTGATGCGCGTACCACTTTGGCTTGTCACCAATCAGGGCGGGGTCAAACATATCTGCCCGGGGAGGACACGAGGAAGAGTTGGCAGTGGCAAGGGGGCGTTTACAGTGGAGCGGTCGTGGAAGGGGAGGCCCAGCGGCTAGAACCCAACCAAACCAAACTCATTGCCCTTGAGTTGATGCCTGCTCTCTCTCTTTTTTAAAGAGAACTTTTCTTTTTCTACTTGGTTGTGAATTGGATGCAGGTTTACAGAGCCGGTCATCAGTTTTACAGTCAACAACTCGAACACGCGTTGCTTCAACTCACCCATTGCAATCTTCTCCTCCCACCCCACCCGCCAGTTTTACTGGCACATAATTTAGGCTGTAATTCTTAAGTAGAAAGGCTCGTCTTCTCCCCCACAGAGCACCTGGTGCTTCCAAACTGCTGACCTTGCAGCTAGCGATCCAACGTGTAACCAGTATGCCATCAGGGCTCCTTGGCCCGAGATTAGGAAAGGAAACGGCTGGGTTAGGAGGCAAGGGCTGGGGTGAGGCCATGGGGGAGGCGCAGCTCAGGGGAGGCGGACTCACTGTTGTGAATTCGCTGGAAGGCGTAGTTGGTGGGGTTCAGGATCCACTCTCCAAAGTACTCCACAGCCTGCGTCCTGGCCAATTTCTCAGCAAAAGGGCTCTGCCGGGGCCGTGAGGCTAGAAAGGCGCCGGCCTGGAAGGCTACCACAGGCCGGGGGAAGAGACGCAGGGTCCGCGTGTGCATCTGGAAGCCCTGCAGCACGTTGGGGGAGTTGAAGAAACGGACCATGGCCACTCTGGGGAAGAAGGGCAGGGCGAGAGTCTGAGCCCCATCCCCGGCACAGCAAGGCTTCCTGCCACTGGGGTCTCGGAGCCCCTCCCAGAGCCTCCGGCTTCTAAGGTCAAGGGGGAGAGTACCCAGTAGAACTCCTCAGTCTGCCTCGGCATCCCAGGCCTAAAGGGATGTCAGAACTCCTTTTCGTTTACTTTGGCTGAGGTCACAAATACAGCCAGAGACCGTGCCCATTGTAAATGGCAAGACCGGTCTGCCCCGGGTCGCTGAGAGGGCACAGGGACTGGTTTAAGAGCTGCTGACTGGCTAAGCCGGCTTGGTCTTACCTGGTGGCGACATCCACAGAATCCACGTCGTTGCCGTAGATGAGGGGGTTGAACTCAGTGGACGGTGTGGACTGCAGGTCGTGGGAGGGCCTTCCCAGGAGGAGCGGGATCTCCTGGCCCTCGTGGAATTTCTCCAGGTTGAGGATGGGCTGCGTGTTGAGACTCATGCTGGCTAGCGCCTGTGGAAACACACGGAACCTCTCCTAGGAAGCAGCTCGCGGGAGGCCGGCCAGACCCGGCTCCTAGGAAGGCGCCTCCCCGAGGCGTCCACGCCACACGCTGCCGAAAGCGCCGCAATGAAGACCTATGCCGACCTATTTCAGAGGCTTCAAGAATCCACGTAGCAAATGAAGGGGGAGGAGGAGAGAGTGGAGCACATCCTGGCCCACCAAGCCTTGAGGACGATATTCCCGCTCAGAGCAGCCAATCCACAGAGAAGACCATATGGCTGGCCCCACTATGAGACACGACATCCCTCACTGACCCATAGCCCTACAGGGGACAACACTGGAGACACAGTGTGGGAATTCCATCCAATCTGATCCCACCACACCGAGGCAAAACACTAAGGGTGTGCAACAGAACAGCGAGGGGAGCTGGGCAAGGAAGTCCCCAGGGAATACCAAAAATAGACTTTGGGGCCAGGGCTTGGCGCCTCAACAAACTTGTTGGAAAACACTCCTGAAGGCCAACAAGCAGTCCTTGAACTAACTATATAAGCTTTTCTTTCTTATTATGTTTTGTTTTGTTTTGTTGTCATTGGCTTGGTTTATTTTGTTGCTTGGTTTTGCTCTGTCTTGTTTTTGTGCATGTTACTATCTCCGCAGGTCTGTCTAAATAAGATAGGCTGGATGAACA